TTAGTAGTTAGCTCATAGATATAGGTATATAGTCATATAGATGATTTTAATATAGGTGTAAAATGTAAATGTATGATATATGCTAGGGCTAAAACTACCGAACTTAAAATAATTTAATCCAATAACAAATTTTATTCACAAAAAGAAAAGTGTTGCTGAAAATCTACGGAAATCAAAACTGGGAATATGATAAAAAACGATGAATTAGGAAGGCTGTATAAGAAGCATAATATCTGATTTTTCTAAGAGCAAAACGATTGGAGTGGGCTGGCCACGACTGACATGCTAAAAATTGTCTTATAAAAAATGTCCTGATTTTTAAACATTTTCCTAATATACTCATCCGAGTGTCCTGTCCTCAATCAAGATCTATACAGAATATCTGAAACAAATCTTAGTTTAGCGCCACACGAATTATTTTTAAAATTGAAACCAAGTATTACAACGAGCTAAGACCGATGGTACAAAAGTTATTATTAAATTAAAATTAATTAAAATTATTAGTTTTAATTAAGAAGTTTATAACTTACGAAGTTTACTATTTTCGGTGTATTGCGCACGCACACAACGCTATATAGTCAACTGCGCTTATACCTAATCAATTTTTCAATTTTTTTTATCTTTGAAACTTTAAGAAGGTTGCAAGTAGGTAAATGTCGTAAATATAATGGATGATTGTTAATGTTCAATTTGAATTCAATGATAAAATATCATTGCATACGAAAAAACGAATTTAATTTCGGTGATTTTTTTCCTAGATTCAATGGCCCTGCCACAGCCCCCCCCCCCGCCATCTCACCCAGATATATTATTTTACCAATTTTATAGGGGAATTTACATAAATATTGACAGTTTTGAAAAAAGAGACGATATGAAAAGACGTTAGGATTTTATTATTTAATAAAATTATATAGGTAATCAATAATTGATTTATAAAAATAAGATTATACCAATAATTACTGAACATCACTACATCAGCATCACTATCACTACACATTCTACTCCGAGCGCCGTCATTAGGTTGGGTATCATCATAGAACAATGATATTATGCCGGACGTAAATTGCGCGCGCACACGTCGTGAATTCATAACGACATCCGGTAAATCGTATCGTCGTTTCTTCCATGGCCGTACGGTGTAAACAAAATATCAAATTGCTGTTTTATCAACAAAAATCAACCACACACTCTGCCCAATAATTTTACGCGGTTAGGAGGCAATGAGGCATCGACGACATTAGTGGTTTTGTAACGGAATTTTCGACTCTACTTACGCTGAGCAAGCACCACCGTATTCCACTCATACGTACTCACTGCCGTCGATCTCGTGATTTTTTGTTCGCCGGAACAACAGTGGCCGTTGGATCATTGGTTTTTATGTTACATTGTTCGAAACAAACGTAAGTATAATGATTTGGTCGTCGTGTCGTATACATAACGGTTCGAAGTCGGAACGTTATTTGTTTTTAATATAATGTTTAAAAAGCTTGACGGGTACGTATTTCTCATCTATAAAACGTGGTACATAATATCATTATAATAACTCAACAAGTGTCCCGGTCAACTTTGAAGGCCCTAAATCGATCACCAACATATTTTTTTGATAGACATTAGACTGTGATGCGCGTTTTGTGATATGCCATCGTGCATGGTGTCTTTGGTAGTTAATAATATTGTTTAATACCGTTGGCCCAGTTTATGTCTGGTTCATGATTGGGGCCCCTGCCATGACTAAGTTTAATGCCCCCCCTCCTCGAGTTAAGAAGTAATTTCTTCAAGTTTAGTTTTTGAGTAAAAAAGTTCATGTATTTGTTGGGTGTCACAACTCACAAGCGGTCCAACCAATACTGCGTACCGCCTTTAACAAACGGTTTATTTTCCACATTCTCCAGACATCTTTAGAGCACTTACGTTTCACATCTAAATCAGCTAAACCAATGATTATACAATGTTATTAGATGACATTCATATGTGCTATGATTGTGTATAAATGTATTAAATATAACATTTTTGATGTTACATCCATCAGAACTGAATAATAGAATATTTCATTGTACATTTGTTCCTAACTACCTAATGATGTTTTTTTTTTTACATTTCCAATAATTTCATCCTTATTTTTCTCAATAAATTTAGTTTAAATAGTAAAACAAAAGTACTCGTTGTTCATCACTACCACTCCAATCTTTTTACTATAGTTACCTACTTAACTTTTTACAATGATTTCCATAGGCGTGGGCCAACCCAATAATACACGAAAACAATTAATTTAATTTATATAAAATACTTACATTTACTTATCAGTCATCCTCCTTTAAAGCATAAATATATTCATTCATAAAATACATGTTTTTTGCTAAGCTATAGGTAGTGGAATTAAAGATTAAAAGATATTAGATATGTTACGGGGAACATCATAAAACAACATATAATTGATAGACCAGCTCCTCTGTTACAAGTAGTAGTTATTATTAAGGTTTCGTGAAATAAAAAAATAAAAAAAGTTAAATACTAAATAAGTCATTACTACTGTGTATATGATCTAAGTCACAATCTATAACAAGTATAGTACAGCTTACAGGGTGAGCCATGGTTCCACAAACTGATGTGACATGCGCTGGAGTGCAGATCACCGTGATCGGCAATTCACCCTGGGACTAAGACTGCCATAAATGATACTCCTGAATCCTGAACCAAAAAAAAATGTACTTCCACTTAGTACCCATTTTTACTAAGCTATCTTTTGACATTGTTACTATTTTTCGAAGCCTTATTTTAATGATTAATATTTTAAACAATCTTAATGTCCTAAATAGTATAGTGTACCTACTTAATTTATATAATTAAATTACCTTTTTAAACTTTATTTTGTCATACATGTTACTTCTATTAGGTAAACTACCTAATTCTCAAAATAACATTCTGACAGTATGATAATATTGATTAATTTGTCTATACCTACGACTCCTCGTATCATTTTAATTATATTACATTTTATTATCTTTGGTTAACCAAAAAAGCTTCATTGCAAAAAAAAAAAAAAATACTTTTCTAACGAATACCTAACTATCACACCTTCTTTGTCATAGTAACTATTTTATAAGATAATTCATGTTTTTATGATTTTGTCTCTGAAAAGGTAATAGCCAACATTTACACTAGCCATGATTCACATTTTAAATTATTACTCGATACTTGTTTAGTTGTTTGTTATTGTCTGACCACCATTAGCCTACAGTCTTTACCTAATCTAAAATTTCGATATTTTTCTGTATTTCTATGATATATTACATTAAGTCTAGTACAATATGATATATTTATGGAAAAGGGGTACATTTTACTATAGATACTTTATGTTGTTGACTTGTCGTTATATATTGAAGGTATATATAATTTAAAGTGGGTACCTCACAGTCACCTGTCTTACAAACGTTATTAGCTTATTATATAATAATAAGGAATTATTTCCCCGCAATATTTAATACTGTCGTTCAATTTTCACCACAAAAATATATTGTTAACCCTTTCAAATTTCAATGCTCTAGGCGTACTATTACGTCCAAAACATTTACACCATTCAGTGTTCTAGACATACTATTATATTCCTGTATTTTATAATACTATCATTTGCCATAAGCCGTATAATTTTAGGCAACCCTGGCTTGCATTATTTTAGGCTTAAATAATTAGATCATTAAGGTATCAAAAATATTTTATTGTACATAGTAGGTACAATACAATAACATAGGTACACAAGTTCAAAACATAAATAGTGTAGCAGTAAAAAGGTTAAAACAAATAAAACGTGTGACATTTAAGGATCTTTGTAAAACAGTCTTATTTTTTTAAGTGTAAGTATAAAATGTTAATAAAATTATTAAGAGGATGTCAGTGCGCTATTTGTTTTCTCTCTCTGACCCACTCGCAACATAGTAAATGTATGTTTTTAATAGTAAAGTGTATTCACTTATTATCAAAGTTAAAGCTAAGAACATTACCTGTGTCCCTACGTTGGCTATTGTATGATATTTTAATTTCGTCAATTTAAACATCCTATTAACGCTAGATCTCACTCATTTAAAATATGCACGAGAATACACGCACACGGTCTTTTTAGTCAGACACAGTATGGCGCAAATCATAGTCAACCAACCAGTCACAATGAAAATATAATAACTATCAATTTCGTTTATCGAGCAGCAATTATAAGAAACACAGGTTAAAAATAACCCATAATTGATTTTTTATGATCACGCACACTGTCTTTTTGACCGTATATTAATACGTAATGTCTGGTTATGAACTTTGAACACTTCTGTATTACTGACATCAGATCGTATACAGTTGGAAGTTGTATCTAATTTTAGTTTATCACCTAATTAGAAGGTACCTAGGTTGGATTAGGTTAATATTTCGTATTTTTGAAACAATGAACAAAATTCTAAAAGCCTGGTCTCTTTGACCGTGAAGCATGTGCTCTAAGGTTAACAATGCTATTATAAATTGTAAACAATTTATTATTATTTACTTTTATTTAAACGTTTTGTAACAGATATGAAAAATACAGTACAACTCTGTTACGTTTAATAAATTGACATATTGAGTGAATTGTCATATTATTAAATTTTCTAGAAAGTATATCATTTAGCAAATGTCGTAGGTTTTATTTATATTTTAATTTTAAAACAAATTACCAGCATTTAAACATTTTAAACTGACTGTACATTTTAAAATTAGTTAACTCCCTATAAAATTACAATATAAAAAAAAACCCGATGAGATTCACTCCATAATATTCTTACTTGAAAGTTTGGTAATATGACAATTCACTCTAAAATTAAACAGGAGTTATATGGATTATTCAGAGAGAGCTTACATTTTGGTATGTTATGCTTTTGTAAAACGGAGACAATGCATGCGAGTGTAGCGTCCCCTTAATTTAAAAAGGAAATCTGTTACAATACCAATTTTTAAATCTAGATTATTATTTTCAGATAAAAATGGGCTTGGAACGTAAAAGAAAATCTATTAATGCTGTTCAAAGCACTGATAAAAAAAGAAAAAGCATAATTGAAAAAAAGTCTTCATCATCGTCTTCTTCTTCTTCTGAAGATTCTGATGAGCAGTCTGATCATGATAATGGATTAAATAATGAAGTGAAAAATGACAATCCTACTATCAGCCGTTGGCCTCAGGATGACATTCAAAAGCTGTTATCTAAAATGGAGTCAGTACTTCCTAAGAGTGACAATACAACATTTCGAAGTCGATTCACGAAACTCGACTGGGATAAAATTCAATTTGATAGTTATAGTAAAGAAGACTGTCAATCTACTTGGTTAGCAATTCAAGATCAGCTCAGGACATTTAAAACTATAGGTGATCTTATTCATGATGCTAGAAATTTATTGGAAACTAAAGGCATTGATACATATCGTTCAAAAACAAATCGGTTACAAAAACCTAGAAGTGCATATATGTTATTTTACACTGAACAACTACAAAAATACAAGAAAAAACATCCAGATTTAAAATTGCCACAATTGACACAAATCATTGCTGAGAAATATAATAAATTATCTCCCGACAAAAAACAAATATTTCTTAATAGAGCACTAAAATTAAAAACTGAATATATTGAAATGGTCGATAAAACAAGCGTAGGTTTCAAGTCTAAGGAATCAAATAAACCGAAAACTCCATTTCAAGTTTTTATGGAATCTAAATCATCAGATTTAGATTCTGCTAATGTTGACAAAGCTGATATTCAAAACAAATTAAAAGAAAAGTGGGATGGTATGTCAGAAAAGAAAAAATCTAAATGGATTAAATTGGCAAACGAACGAGAACAGACATATTTAACCAATCTAAAAGAAGACCACAAAAATGATCCTGCTTTCACTATGCCTACAAAAAGTGCATTGACCAAAGGTGATAGAAATATTTTGGATTCCCAATCTGGCAAACCAAAGAAACCTCCAGTTAATAATTATGGTCTTTTCTCTAAAGAAATGTTGCAAAGTGATGCATTGGCTGGTGTTCCTCCTAAAGAGAGAATGACAGAGTTGGCTAAGAAATGGAAAGCTTTTTCTGATGAAGAGCGACAAATTTATTCAGATAAGTTGAAAGTTATAACTGAGCGATATAAAACTGAATTTGATGCATACTTACAAACATTACCAGAAGATGAAAAACAAATAGAAATGTCTAAAAACAAAATAAAACCTAAGAAACCTGAACCAAAAGTTGTACCTAGGATTAATGCTAGAGAAGTAATCTCAGAAAAACCCACAGAAAAGGCTAAGAAAAAAAGTACTTCAACATATAACGCAAAAACTAATACATTCAAAAATGAACCACAACAATTACCTTTTAAAAATTCATTTGAATTATACAGAAGTAAATTAGATGCAAAGGATAAACATCCAATAACAAGTTTAGAAGATTGGATGAAAAAAAAAAATGAACGAAAACTAACATTGTTTGAAAATGAACTTAAAACCCTTAAAAAAGAGTATATGAAAAGTTTAAAAGTATTTTTAAGATCTCTTTCTGAAGAGGATTTGCAATTATATCTAAAATTGAGAAAACCCGAAATGTTAACTGAAAATAATGATTCTAGTGCATCAGAGGATGAAGGCAATTCTTCATCTGAAGAAGACGATGATGATGATTCAGAGTAAAACATAAACATTTATTTTCATTTTTATTTCAATATTAATGCCACTTGTTTAGTTTTTTTAAGATATTAGCTACATTGTATAAGTTAATTTTATTCCCGTTTGACCCACTTAATTTGAATTTTTAATCGTTGAAACAATTTTTTCCATCTTTTTATATATATATCCATTCTTAAATGCAATTGTGTTAAATAGTATACTTGCAATTTAAACAACATTGATTGTTACTTTTATTTTTCTAATTAAGTTAAACCTATTTTATTAAATAGTACTAAATAACCATGATATTTTATAAGTTTTAATTATTTTTGAATTTATGATATATTTTGTTAAATCAACTTTATTGGGATTTTACGAATTTATGTTTTTTTATATATTCATGAAATAAAGTTAAAATTAATATATTATATTTTACAATATAATTAAAATTTGAAAATAGTTTGTAAAAAAATAAAGGGTTCTAATAATATTATTTTGTTCAATATAATAATTATATAAATATTATAGTTGTATATTATTCTTTTCTATTCTTTTAAACAGATTCAAATACATTTTGAGATATAATCATTTATGTTGAAATCTCATTAATAAAAAAATAATACATTTTGTTATGGGAATCTAGGATAGTTTTATAATAATTAGTATTTACCAATTGTTTGTAATCATCAATGAATCAATGGAAAGTTATAATTAGACTTTTAGTTTGTGACCTATGCTTAAGACAAAATCATGTTATACTTGACAAACAAATATATTTTTTCTTAATAAAAGTATTTAAATATTTTCATACAATGAATTATTTTGTACACATATAGGTTGAATGACTTATCCGCTCGGAATAGATCTCATAATAATATATCAAGATTTATTTATGTTGACATTTGAAATCATGGTAAATCTTATGAAATCAGATGAATTTTAATTTTCAACAAGTGACCTATTTAATGATGAGGTACCTACATTAGGGTGGTCCTCTGGTATAGATGAAGGAAAAAAAATTGCAAAATGTTCAAGTTACCCCCCTCGAATTGGTTCCAATACTTAAAAAATTTTCAGACAAATTGATCAACTTTAACCCGTGCCACAAAAGCTCTAAAGTTTTTATAATAAAAAAATTTGAATTTTTCAATAAAATTAATCATAACTCTTAAAATAATGATTTTACAAAAACATTGTAAGGGCCTCAATTACACATTATTATTATTACAACAGTTTTATACTTATAAATTTTTTAAAAATATTTGAGTTCAATTTTTAAAAATTTTAATTTGTAACTATTTTTTAAGGCGACAATAAATAAAGTGTTCTCTATATCATATAGGTAATGCGATTTAAATGAACATAAACTTATTTAGGTACTGTATAATATAGTTTGTAAGTAATACTACACGTTGAAATCTATGATACCTATAAGAAATTAGTATAGAATCGCCAAGTACGAATAGAGTATACTGGCTAGTAATACTAATACCTGACACCTGTACCCATATTTTTCGATTATTACGTGAAGATAAGTATTATCTACATTCTACAAATCTTCATCATTGTATATTATTAGGACCTAATAATAGTGTACGTACACTGCAGACTTAGGTACCTACGTGATGTGTTATCGGACTTATTAAATCATTATAGATTGTCAATTATTATTTTGCAATTTATTGATTTATTTGTCAGTTGAATTATAACAACAACCAGTGTCATACTTAAATACTGTGTGTTAAGTTTTTACAATATTTTATACCTACTTTGTAAGAAATGTATTTTATTTTACTGATTCACAATGGTTACCAGGAATAGTTTACGTGAGTCAACATATAGGTATATGAAATTATATTGAAAAGTGTGTTTGATTTAAAATTTGAGTCAACATCGGACCCAATTTTTAAAAGGTTTCAACAATTAGCCTGGGGAACAACTGACTAACAATTTTAATCCTAAATCCTGGCATACAAAATAGTATTGTAATTTATTCTGTAAATGACGTATGTGAAAATTTTATTAAGTTTTCTAAAGATCGACTTTTAAAAAAGCATCTAAGAGATGATTACCGAGAGTTACTAGAATGAACAGTCATTTTTTGGGGGGGAAAACTTTCAAGTGATATCAGCTTTAAAATACCAGGTACTATTTATCACGCTCAGTACATGGCCATAGCTTAAAAATATATTTATTTTGTGAACAGATTAGATTAACACCTAAATAAGGAAGTGCCTTAAGGAGTATTTGCATTTTTATTGTACGATTATACATAAAAGTATGGTTTAATTCACCATCTTCAACCAAAGCACTTTTACAAGACTTGACTTTTATAAATTTAATATTTTTTAGGCAATAAAGTTTTGGAAATTTCCAAAATAGCCTTTTTGTTAATCATATTTTTTAAAACAGTTAAAAAAATATATATTAAAATCGACCAAGTTAGAGCTAACTATTATTTTGAATTTCTGAGAATCGTAGTTACCTATGGATACGGCATTAGCAAAATACGATTCGCATGCTTTAATTAAAAATTAAAACTCTGATTTTTTTTTTATGACAGTCAATTAATATCTAACTATTAGTGAAAGCTTTTAGTTTTAAGATTTCAATTTTTTATAACTGATATTCTGTATCTATGTCAAAATTCATAATAGTTCCAAAAAAATAACTGTTTTTTCATTTCAATAATAAAATATCTATTTCAAATTTCAATCCGACAAAACTAATACACAACCTAATTAAAGTTTTAAGGTTTTAATAGAAATAACAATAGCTGTGTATTTGCGTTTACTGAACCGTGAACAGTGAAACTGGTTACCTATTTTTAAGTAGGTATTTTAATTAGGTATCATGAAATGAACCTAAAATTACGAAATGGCGCAAATAGCTGTGGCGCCCTGGTCCATGATTTTATCTTACAGTGAATTATTAATGTAATTTATAATATTAATATTTACGCATATCTCAGTTTTGCAAATTATAATTAAAATTATTCACTTGTGGTCTTTCTTTATAGCTATTAGCAATTAGCATTGAGTATAGTATATTTTATATAGTATACTGTAAACCGTCAAATGCTACAACTTGGGACAGGAAAATTAATTTTAGGTTGCACATAATATTTAAGATAATCTACCTTTTATTTTTTAATCATTATTTACACAAGATTACCTATGAACTCAATGTGATAATACAGCCCAAAACACAAATAATAACGACGGAGAACCATAGGCGTGCCCACGGGTAGGGCTGATTGGGCTGTAGCCCTACCTGAGATTTTTCTATACGTGGGTGGGTTGGTACCTTATGACGAAACGTAGGTATAGACCTTTTATAGTTTCGTTAACGTTTGTGTTTACCCTGGAGACTATACGACTGGGCGATTTATTTAAAATTGAACACTCATTATTTCAAAATGTGTAATTGTTTTTGAAAATATTTTTTACATAGTTTCGAGTCACTTACAAAACAACTTTGTTATTAAAAAATTATCCTTCTAATTTTTTTATTTTATTTTTGACGACATACCTAGAGCTTAAATTTCATATTCCAAAGTAGAATATTTTTCTAAGTATTTCGATACATACAAATCGAATTTAGTGTGAGACGTGAGTAGTCTATGCGTTATAAGTATTTAAAATTAAGTGGTACTGGGTTATCCTGCAAAATGTATGTCCACTACTCCGCTCATCTAAATTTTAATATTTATATCTCATAAACTAATAGCCCTAAAGTCGATTTACCATGAATAATTAATAATAATAAATAAATACCTATTAATGTTAATTGACAAATTTTAATAATAAATAAATACCTATTAATGTTAATTGACAAATTTTAATATTATATATTATACTTTGAACGTTTTTGAATAAATTGTTTTATTAGATTATATTTGGTTAAAATTTAATTAAATATTGATGAATTTTGTGTGTGTGAAATATCAAATAATGAAAAATGATTATTTACATTTTCCAGTAACCAACAAAAGAGTCACTTAAAATTTTGTAGAGTGTAGTGAAAATGTCTATAATTTTTTTCTTGTGTGAGTGTGTGACCATGACAAGGGGGTGGGGGATCAGATTGAATTTAGCCGTACCTGACTCAGAGGTCTGCGCACGCCTATGCGGAGAACCGTCACCACGTTTTACTTAACACTATTTCTAAATAGTAAATAGTCCTTAACAATTTTATCTGTAAGTCATTAACTATGCTTTAAATCACAAATTTGTATTCTTTATTTTACAGATGAATATGTGTAGTTTGAAGTTAAAAAAACGAAATTCAGTTTGATTAATTTTTAAACGTTGTAGCGTATGGTTTATACATGTACCCCACTTAGGACATAGCCACATAGATAGGTACAGGGGCGTACTCAAGGGGGGGGTTCGTGGGGTTTGACCCCCTCCCATGACCTTACTAACCGATGCACTTTTGTGCGTTCTTGTTTATACATAATATAATTCACAGGAGCAATTTTCTAAAAAAAAAATTTTTAAGAAGGGAAAAAATAAACAAATATATTTATTTTCAATTTTATATCAACATGCATTATACAACGATTACAAGCATTATCTGTTAAGAACTGTATTATGATAACCAGATAAAATTTAAATCAAACATACAAGGTGTATTGATAAGTTGTCGTCACTCTGGACCCTCTGGACTATTTAAGTATTTATTCTTTTTCCATAAACGCTTAAAGTCAAAAAATAAAAATAAAAATAAAATAATAACATTTTTTACTAGTGTGCCTGGAAGTTCTAAGTACATTGAACCCAGTGTTGTAAAAAATACTTTTTAAAAGTATTTAAGTAATTACTCAAATACTCTTAAAATAAAGTATTTAAATTACCACCCAAATACTATAAATAGTAAAGTATTTGAGTAATACTCAAATACTTTTCAGAAGTATTTAAAATAATCTTCAAATACAAAAAAAAAATTCTTTTTACTTTTTAGTTCTGAAATAATTTGTTATAATCAAAAATGTGTTTATTGCATTTTAAAAACATGATTCG